TGGAAAATAACCTAAACTGTTTCCAAATTTCCAAAACATCTGCATGGACTAGGACAAGATATAAAGTAGCAAATTGAATCCTTTGAAGCCTTTGTGCTCCCCACATACACAATGACCGATTGATTAAAGCCCTAAGAGACAAGACAGTTCAGTGCAGTGCTCTCTTCTGCCTGTGAATATGTAGAATAGTATCTCCAAATGTCCTAAGTTGCAGTAACTGGTTATATTAGGGAGCAGCGACCCTGCTCTAAGGAGATGGGACCCGGTGTTTCCCTACATTTGAGCCACTATGCAGAGAATTCAAAATTCATTATAGAAAACAGCACATGGAGGGAGGTGTGTCTGTATATCTGCATTTACTTAGGTGTTGGGAGATGTACGACCTGGTTTCTGCTCTTGCAACTGCCGACATATTTTTCCTTTTCATATTGTATACATACAAAAATTACCTCCATCATGATAACTATTTTTTCTTTATATTTTCTTTATATTTTGCTATGTTCAAGAAGAAAAACTTATCAATATGTGTTCATGGCAGTTTCAAAAGACCTCAGTGGAATTCCTTAGGCTGTTCAATCATATTAAAATATAGGCAATGCTACACGCTACACATATTTTGGATGCTTGGAAATTCTCCCGTTACAAAGTGCTATGTTTATGGCATTAAGGCAATGCCAAGCTTACAGGATCTGACCTTTAGTTCTTTATGAAAAGTAATTGCCAGTGGAGGTTAGGAAAGTTAAGTAAGTCTGCCATGTACTTCAAGGAGCAATACTACATGTTGAAAAGACTCACACTGTTCTTAACACTTAAAAACATCCAGCATATTTGTTGCGTTGTCAAGCGAGGACACCACTTTGACTTAGATAGAGCACCAGAGTTTTGAAATATGCTCGAGTATTTTGAATTTGAATAATATTCTCCTTKCTGAGAGGTTTTAGTTTCAGCCATAGATGCTAAAACATGCCTGAAATATGTATGAAATTTGAAGTTGGGCCACTATACAGAAGAGAATTAAAGATTCATTCAGCAAGAGAGAACAAAATAAGAAATAACCTTCCTTGTACTCTTTAACCAGTTGAATTTGTACTGCTATATTTAACATACATATATGTACCATATATATGCACTTGTGCATTATGCATATATTAATTATATAATATAAACTGKTTTTATATATACACACACATAATATACATATATGTGTGTATATATAAAACCAGTTTATATATTATACATAAATTATATGTGTGTATATATCTATATATCTATATTAAATATAGATATTTGAAAGATACAGCAAAAACTCTGATGTCAGCCAGAAAAAAAAAAGGCAGGTTAAGCTAGAAAAAGTGCTTGTTTTATGAAATAGTAAAATTGCAATTCACAGCATTTTAKGAATGCTGTACAAATTACCAGATACCATAGACTGCATTTCTGGACCTGAATGGTACTAAAAGTTGCAACCAAGGGCAAATATAAAGACACATATTTACAATGCAAAGGCTTAGTCAGTATTATAAGCAATATGGCAATCTGCATACCAGAAGATATAATGCTTTGTAACGTGATTTTTACTTTACATATCAATTTCTACACACGGGAACAAGCTCTAATRCAGCCTCATTAATTTCAATCATTGTAAAAAGGAAGAGAAAAACATAGTAAATATACTGATAGATTTAACAATGATTAATGCATAACAACATATTTATGCAATCACACATTCACCTTATTTACTGAGTGGCAATACTCTGTAATATAATTTATTTATAAATTTATAACATATTCTATTCTATAAAGACATCACTAAAGCATTTAAAAAGAGACTAGAAATGAGCTGACAAGATTTTTATCAAAGTTCCTGGTGCTACTTCCATTCTTTTTAGTTGTAATTTTGTCAACATATCAAAGCCTGAATTTATACATACTAGGGTTTCTGGCCTTCACTGGGCTCCCGTGATGCCTGGCAGTAGAGGAGCAAGTGAGCATCAAGGACAAGAGAAAGGCCAGGGAAAGATCTGGCCAAAGTCCATGCTCAGGTGCAGAGGAAGAGGAGAGAAAGAAGCTGGACAAAAAGAGCAGGCACTGAGTATCAGAGAAGTCTGCAGTCCCTGCATGACCTGCCTACCCCTCCCCAGGTCAGAAATGGAAACCAGCAGTCTTGAATTTCATTATTCTGGAGGAAGAGGCTAAGATACCTCCTGGCAAAAGCAGCACGCCCCATGTCTGTGCTGGGGAAAGAGAATTTCCTATCCTGATCAGGTATTCCAGCAGCTCAAGTAGTGATGATGGGCACAGACATTTTAACCTCAGGTCTGATCCAGGCAGGAATACAGTGGCACACGTCCAGGCCTTCTTTGTTTTGGAAAACAAAGACTTGTGAACACACCTCCGCACCCACTTACATCCTCCTACATGGACTTCCTACAGTTTGGATGGCAAGTGGATGTCTTGGTGTTTGATGTGAAGTACTAGTCATCACCTCCTAGCCACCAGCCAGCTGGCTCTGGTGTTACTGGAGCTCTGCTATGGACATRGAAAGCAGAGTATCAATCATGCAAATACTCTGGAAAACAAAATTCTAGATGCTTTAGAGCAGAACACCCAAAATAACCAAATCCTCTTTTTCACAGTGTTTCAGTTGTGTGTGAAAAGAAAGACAATACAACCTTCCTGCTCCAGAGCGCCGCGGGGAAGGTAACTAGCACCTCTTTACACCACAGTGCTGCTGGGATGAGCAGGGTAGAAAAGCCCACAAGGAAGCAGGGCTCTAATGCTTCAGTGTACGCACTAAATGCAGCACTTGATCATAAGCAAATGAAATGAGGCTCACACTGAATGAATAAAACATACTACGAGATCAAATGGCTAATAATTGTATTAAAGCACTTTTGGAAAAGTTATGCTATTTCTAGCATTTCTTGACTTTTGCGAATAYGGTCCTTTAAACTTAATAATATCCTCCAAAGGTAGCTTTTGTGTAGGATAATATAATAGATGGAAATAATAGAACAGATGGACTCCACACAATGAATCTTAATAATATATTACATATATTACTTTATGCTTACATGCTTAGCTAAAGAACCACCAATCTTCTGGTACTATATAAATATTTAATAATGATAATATAGAATATACTCAGCTAACATTGCATCTGGGCATTTTACAACTTTATGCTAAATTGAGCTTCCTTTAGTAACATGGCAGCTCTGYTGGATTCACTGAGCCTATCCATGGGAGTAAGCAATTAAGACTTGTCTTCACTAAACGTATATTTGATCCTTTCCATACTAGACAAAAACATGAYATTATGGGGACAATTTGAATAAATGCTTAAAAATAAAGAAAATGCTTCAATGCTTTTCTGACTAAAAGCAGATCTAAACATGCGCAAATGGCTTCACGCATGGAACTGGTCAAAAATCTTAACAGGTAATTTTCAAAAAACAAACCCCAGAAAATATCATGAAGATACTTCTTTTCTTCCCATAAAATAAAAATTAAATAAAATTCTCAGGTCTGTTATATTTATTTTTTCAAAAAGAAGCCCTTGTTTTATATAGACAGAGTTATTATTAACTCTATAGACAGAAGAGTTTTATATAGACAGTCCATGATGTGCTGAATGCTGCTATCTGAGCTATTTTCACAGCTGAGGAGTTGGCTTCATGGCTCCAAAATCTATTGGTATATTTTGAGGTAGTTTGACCTGTCTTTTGCCAATAATTTATTTTAAACAAATTGGTATCTATGCAGAATAAAACKTGATAAAGCATCACCACTTGGAAAATTCTTTACTAAAGACAATGATTATTTCTAGAATTACACAGCCCTAAGACAATATAGGTATTATAGGTATCCTGTACCCCTCTTAACTAATGTGTTTATGATGGTAGTTACAAATTTAAAATGCATGATACACCACACAAGAAATGAATGAGATAATGCTCATATTTCAGATTTTGAGATTCAGCAGAGACATTGACTAAATGCTGTGATAAAGTAGAAAGATGTATGAAAGGCCCTTCCATAAGTAATCATACAATCTTTCCACTGAAAACGCATAAAGCTGCATACAATACATGGACCGGTAGAGTGCAAAACTAAATTAATCCCAGAATACACTTAATACTAAGAAAAAGTTCTACTGTTATCATATATGTGTATATTTGTATATTCTAAAGTGTCACCATCTTTACTTCTAATATTGGTCTTATTTATGTAGGAGTAAAATACATCTAAATTTGACCTTATAAACATACACATTTCTGTGAGAGATGCAGAACAGAAGTGATCCCAGGTAATATGAGTCTGAAGTTGCTCCATTGTTATTTCACATTCACACATACAGCAATTTCACAATCTTCTGCAGGCTTTAAACAGCCCATTACAAAATCATGGGCTCTAAGAATGTTGGTATATGTTGTTCCTGTATGGAGATACTGGAATTTGGAACACTCCATGTTCCAGTATAAAAGCCACAACATGACCTATACTGTGCTCACAGAAACTGCTCACTGAATGTAAAATGAAAACCCACTTTTTCACATGATGATTTGCTATGTGGGCTGAGCTGGACTTTTTTTCTGCGTTGCAATTTGTTTATTTATTTACCAGTGTTTTAAAAAGAAACATAGTTATTGTTTATGTGACACGATTTTCCTCTTATAGATAAACTGGTTCTTGCSAGGTATGGCTTTTCTTTGGTACACTATGATCTTTTACAGGCATATCCCTCCTTTCTTGAATCTGATGATACCCCCAGCCTGGAGAAGTGCTGTCACTAATAAGAGACAGAAGAAGGTATCTTTTCACTGGGAGATGGCTGTTTTATTGAGTATTTACACATAGAATGGGTATCCTGAGTTTAAGGTGAGAACAAACAAGGCAATCTGCACTAAATGTTGTAGTGCTCAGCATAATATAAATGCTGAAAATGGTTTGCAATATGTCACTATATATATATGTGTATGTATATATATATTATGTGTTACCTTGGATACAAGGCTTGCTCTGTAGGCAGCTAACTGCTTCAGATATTCCTTCTTGGCAGCTTCAGTTTTCTTTTTGTATACCTAAAAACAAAGAGTGTCACATTGGTAAATTAATCTGGTTTTGTTTTTATATATCACCGGTGTGTTTCATGCATCTTCATAAGGCCTTTCTAAGTAAACACCCTTTCCTCCTCCTCTTGCTTAAAGGGTGAAATAACAAACATCAAATACTTTAAAGAAAATATTGTTACAACTGTGAAGCAGCCTTTAACTACCCAGTAGTACTGAAAAAACAATACCCATCCTAGCATCAGCATTAACTGTTCAAAGTGAAATGCAGGGTGCACTTGTAGAAGGGACCTTCGGGGTGCAGGGAGGGGAGAGGGCAGACAGGAGCCTCTTCACTGACTACCACTCATGAGACAAGCTATAACCTTCTGGGAAAGGTGAAAATGTTGGTAGAAAGACAATCACTTAGGCGGCCTTCTCTCCTCCTCAGATTAACTGTTGGGGGCAGTCAAAGAAGCTTCACGGAGAGCTAAGAATAATAAAYGTTAGTCATTATTCCAGTCTTGATCCCATATCATTCTAATTAACTTCTCAGGAGCATGGATCTATTTCTGTACATTTCTCTCAACTCACCAAATTATTTTAAAAGCAGCATGTGCACAATCTCATAATAGCTTAGAGAGCTTCAAGAGTCACTTCAATTTTGCCCAAATTTCAAGATCAAAGATTATCTGCAAGGTTAGGAAGGACCTCATAGTGCTGCAGTAACATGATGTTAGAAAGTCACAGGTAGATATTTAGGGTTGAAAGTTCCCAAGAGAAGAACCCTTTTCTGACCTGTGCAGCCGAGCTAATGACTTGCTGTCAGCAATGTCAGTGACAGATTTTGGAACAACCCAGCAKTTCTCTTTGTAAATAGTACCATAAGTTTCTCACTGCTTCATGACTTTTTCTATTTTTTTTTTAAGGTTAGATTTTTGTGGTCACACAAGCATTGTGACTTCATGTAACTAAGCAGAACTGATCCCTAACCTTGCCTGATGTAGGAAAAAAACCCTTAAAAACACCTAGATGGAAGGCTGAAAAAGGAGATGAATAAAAGGAGAGAAATGTTACTTTCTTATTGTCGTTAAATTTTACAATTTTTTTTTAGTTAGTCACACACCCGCACCATTGATTCATATTTTCAAGGACATTTGGGATTCTCAATACTATGTAAAATGTATACTTTTACTCATAACTTTTGAGTCCATGCTGCCCATTTCTTCAGGAAAATACAAACCCTTGGCAACTGGAAAACAACTCCAGGAGGTGAGTTACAACAGCCCGCCTTCCCCTACCACGGAATCTAGTCATTTGGGCTATTGATTACAAGCCAAAAGATGGACATTTATGACTTTTGGTGATATTCTCATGAATTCTCCATACGAAAAACACAAACATACATGCATCTCTTCTCTGGAAGGATAAACTTTATGCAACTTTAAACTGATCTCTTCTGATCATCCTAATCTCCAATAAAACCAGAGTGGTTTCATCATGGGGAAGATCTAGAAGCACCGATTGAGCACAAAGAGGACAGTGTGATGCCAAAGCACCGAGTGAGAGCAGCAGGATTAGGCTGGAAGAATCTGGTACAGCATCATTTTTAGAGAGCATGTGCTTGGGGAACTTTTTTGTTTCACTGGGGCTTTGCTTTCAGAGACAGAACAATCCTCAGATATGGGCTGGCAACACTCAGAGGTTGCCTAAAAGGATTAAAGACTTTGCCTCCCAGGGAAGCAAAAGATCATAGTGGAAGCAGGGAAATCTTAGGCTTCTAAAATTGTAAATATAAAGATAGAAAGGGAAAAAAGATTAGTTTTAGCTGTGTAACTGTATATGCATAGCCTTGTAATTTCTCCAGATTAAGATAAAGATATACTCTTGGCTGACCTCCTATTGTTTTGCAAAAAAAATATAGTAGCAATTTGCTTTTTAAGTTGTAATCGTTTGTGGTTATTAGGGAAATGTACTGTTTATTTARAAAATGAATCGAAAATTAGTCAACAATCTGTTTCCTGGCTGCTAACATGAATTTAGCTTGACCTAYGGAACAAAGACTAATTTATACTGCTTTGTATTTTGCAATACTTCTGCATCGCTCTGATAGCCAGCTTAAAAAACACGGTGGAACAAAGAATTTTACACAGAATAATGATCTTTTAAAGAAAGATCCTGCATCTACTGCTTCCAGCTTTTACTTTGCATTGCACAGATATAAAAAAAATATATAGTCCTACTGTGCTTTTACAGTTGCAGTGCACTGAAAGAGTCCTCTGGGGCCTGACTTTTCCCTCGAATAGTCTTATTGCACAAGGTTAACTCAATAATATGAAGTGAACAGCAGTGCTATAAATCCCTACTTAAAGCATTGCTGCTTTAGGTGAATGTCACCATATAGCCCGCCTTTAATTATTTATTTAATTATTGTATCTACCACATTCAGCCTACCATTGTTTTGTCCTCTTTTCCTTCATCTTCTTGTGAGCCAATAATGTTTAAGAAAAGCTCTGCTTTTTCACCGGGGTGTTTACACTAGCCAGGTAGTTGGAGGTTGTTATGATCCAAATTTCCTTACTGCATAGGGAGAGGTAAGGTCACCTTAGCTGCTTTGGTGTTCTGGATTGCATGGCCATCCATGACGTTAGGAAGGGCTTCCTCCTTCCTAAGGTATCCACATGGGATCTGAAGCAAAGAGTTGGGGCTCTCCCTGGCTATATCCTGATGCCATTTGTCCTTTGCAAGAAGCCCACTTTTAAGCAACTGGACTGACGATTCTCACGTTATTTTTCCAAAAATTGCTTGGAACTGGTTTGCACTAAAAATTGGGATAGTTTCAGGATGTCCAGGAAGTTGTCCCTTYTTATGAGTAGCAACAAGGTCTGGTTGCCAAGACTTTTCTCTCAATATGCRTGAATGCAGCCCTAGCATCAAGGACCAGTTCAGTACCTTCAAGCTAGACAAGACTTCTGCCGTAGGCTTAAGAAAGCAGCACGAGTGAGGAGAGTCCCCAGCACTTGGAGCAGCACCTGCAACAGGTTAGAGCAAGTCGGCTGCCCCTCCCGGGCTACCTTCCACAGCTGTGAGAGCTTTTAGCCCTTGAGCTCAAATGGTTTTGTGTTGTAATAACAGAGTTGCTACCTTGCAGCTGTTCTGGGGAGGCAAACGGCTTGTGTCATCACTCAAGTGCGTCCCAGACAACAGCTTAAGCTGTTCTGAGTTCCTTGCTTATGACTGTGCTGAAACCTGTACTCTCCAATAATACAGTTTTCCCTGTATSAAGAAGCAGGTTTCTAAGCTGTTGCTTATTTACAGTGTATATTGGTGATATCTATTTTTATTTTTAATACCTCAGAAATCTCATACAGGTCCTCCTCCCTCAAGCATGCAACGATTATTAAGTAACTTGATAGGAGCATATACTTATGGAATTAAGTCATTTCCAGCTTTAATTCAATTAACATGATAATTGAATGTCAACTGACTGTCATTCAAGTAGTAAAGGCCCATTCTGATTCCCCAGCAGATTTGTTTCCTTGCATAGTTTTTTTGTTTGTTTGTTTTGTTTGTTTTGTTTTTTTAATATTATTCTAGTTATGGAAATTGAATGTTACCAGAAAGACAGCATTTCTGCATATGTAGGGACAGGTCAGCTTGATTTATTCTTTTTATTCTTGTTATCTGCTGTGTATTACAGAAGCCCCTGCCACACCACAATTATACATATAYTTGCGTGCAAATGGAAGCGGCTACCATTATTTTCCATTGTGCTTCATGAATGCAAACTCATACATTGTAATACACAGGTCCTTAGTTTACTATTTAATTAAATTTCCAAAAAGCGCCCAGTAAGATGGCTTCTATTTCACTAAAAATGCTCAGCAAAGCTTGTAACAATCCAGAAAAGGTATTTTCTGTAACAACTAGGTATGAAGCTCTTCCTTGTGTGTAAATACAGACGACAGTGTTTGAAAGAGGCCATTGGGAAAACCMGGGGAAAACCTTGGACCTTGTTGTGATGGCGGCCTAGAGTTCAGATCAGCTTGGCTCACCATAAGCTTGGACCTCAGCTCTGGTGGCATCCTATGCTCAGGACCAAGCTCATTATTTAACCAGTGATATCTGACCTTAAGCTGACTGCCCCAAACTTTCATTTGGAGACAGATGGGTTGTGGGCTATATGGTTAGCCACAAGCACTGCACAAATACTCAATTTACCAAATCAAAACCACAACAGAATATCTGCCCTGCTGTTACAATGCCAACTTCTAGTCATATTCTGCTGTATATATTTTAACAGCTGTTTCATTCTTGTCTTTCTAGATCATTCCTGGAGGCAGCCTTTGTGCCTCCTGTGCTATCCATGTGCTTGGATAACACGAAACTTGTCACTGATCATGACAAAATGTATCAGGAATGCCTGAAGACACATTTTTATTTTGTTTGGCCCTCTCTTTCTGATTAACAACTTGTCAGCTTGCCTGTGCAGGGTTATCAGTACACCAGAGCATGGACCCATGAGCCTTGCCCCCCTTGTTCCTTTAGGGGAAAAGGTCTCCCTATTTATTGATAAGAGTCAATTTGGGCACCTCAGACAGGTGAACGTGACCCTTAGTCTGGAATAGCAGGTACTGATGGAAGAAGGTCCCACTTTGAGACTAGAGACTTGGAAACAGTGAGCTAAATTGACTGATAACCTTAGGAGGAAAAGTCAGAACATGCACCCCTGGTAACTGGAAAAGGTTTGTGCCCCTTGCTGACAATGCACGTTATGAAGAACCATGGGATTTCTCTGGTGTAAAAGAATGACAAAGAAGGGAATGTTTATCTTTTGCTTGTCTCCTTACAGCTGACACTTGCAAGCATGATATATTTGTTATTTTAAAATGATGTAAAGATGCCCATGTTTGTTTTGACCAAAATGTTCCATAAACCTAAAATAAAGTATATCCAAAAAAAGCAACATGACCGATTTTGAATTCTTGGACTCTGCAGCTCTATTACATATGTGAATGACACCTCAATAGGTA